AAGTTCCACCCGGCCTTAAACTATCTATTAATGTCAATTGAAATACATGAGTATTTAATTTATACATCCCATTATTAAAGCACAAAAAGATAATTTTATTTATTTATAAATGTATATTTAAAAATAATGTAACTAAAATATGAATATAATAACATATAGTTTTTGAATGCGGTATAGCTAATAATATATAATCACTATATGTGAAACAACTAATGACTGAGGTTTCATATGATAAATAATAAAAATTATTCAAATAAATTTTATACGAAGCTCTTATTTCGTATTACTTATAGCTGCATTGATAACTTCATTTATATCATAATCTGCTGCTTCTTCTTCAGTTTCGACGTTACTATTAATATTCACTTCACTCACTCGTTCTTCTGAAAAGGCATTAAAATCGATTATTTCACTAATCTCCAAATTTTCACAATCAAATTGTCTAATTTCATCCAAATTATCTTCGTCAGAAATATAATCTTCGTCAAATTCTTCACTAGTAAACATATCATCATCATATTCAACTAAATTCGAATAATCTTCCATTATTTGCTCAAATTCTAATCCTGAAAGATTATTAGCAACATAATTTAGCTCATTTTGAGCATTAGTTAGATAATATGTATGTAATTTCGCGATATTGGAAACTTTTTCTACAGTTAATCTATATATAAATAAGATATATATTTAATTATAGAATTTGTATTACTTCATCTACAATCGCTTTATAGATAACTCATTTTACAAACAAGTAATCTACTAACAATTTTATTTTACGAATAAGTGCAGGAGAGCAAAAACCTGTAACTTATTATAATAAGTCATTAAATATATTTCATGTTTTTACTTGCTCGCACTTAGACTATCAATTCACAGATAAGTTCATTTCATAGACTGTTCATTTAACTGGTTGCTTATTTCATAGACAGTTTATCTCATGGCTTATTATAGATGCTAGTTTTTTTATAACTTGCACTAAAGTTAAGCATAATTTTAGTTCTAATTTTAATATTAATAACTATGCTTAGTCGATAAAATAAGCTGTTAGTAAAATAAAGTGTCTATGAAATAAGCTAATGGTAAAATAAATTAAATATGTTTGGTAAATAAACTGTCTATAAAATAAAATATCTATAAAGTAATTATGAAGCGAAGCTAAAATTATATAAATTAAACTAATTTAATTACCTGCTTCTTCGTTTTTGAGTAATCCAACTTAATACTGAAAATATACGTTCGCAACTTGCACTATGGGGTGTAATTGCTAATAAATGCAGAGCAAGTTTTTGCAAATAATGATTTTCTAATTTACAGCCATTCCACCAGGTTTGCGGTGATTCAATTTCTTCCATAAAAGTAAAATTATATGGGGTTCATATGCATCATACTTTTTAATTTGTGCTACTAAAGTATTTGCACTTTCTATTCCTCCCTTACCAATTTTTTTCCATATTTCAAGCGCAGTATATAACATTTGATGAAACAAAGAATTTTTTATACCTTTTCCTCGATACTTTGGGTGAAGGAAATATGCTAAAAGATAAGTTTTTATATCAAACTCTTTCCATCGTTTGTTATAAAACTGAATGCATTTCTTAATAAATTCAACATGTTCTAACAAATTATTTTTTTTAAGAGTATTAATAGTAGCTGCCATTTGAACAAGAAATAAAAAAACATTAGCAGTTGTTGTAGACTTTGATTCAATTATTTTAACAGCATTTTTGGCAGGTAATAATATTTTTGCTAAAACTTCTGCGTTTGCCCAAAATTGCCGATTTCGTGTAAGGTCTCTTAATTCTGGTGTTAAAGCTGTACTATCATCTTCTAAAATCTAATTATAAATTTATAGAATTAAAGCTTGTTAATAAAGTAACAAGATGATTATTATTACGAGATCAGATAGTTTTATATAAGGGTAGTTGGCAAGCTGGCAAGGCAAGCTTTTTTTTAGCTTACCAAATAGTGGCAAGACTCTCACCAATATTGTCTTGCCAAGCTCACTAGCTTTCTCGCCAGCTTGCCAACTACTCTATTTTATATTCAATTTGTTATTTAAAATTATCTAATTGAGTAAATATATATTTATATGTATATATTGATTTGCATACCTGTTTAATACAAATTTCTGTATTAAGAACTGATTGTACGCAATCATATGCAGATGACCAGCGTGAACAAACAGAACTTTTTAATCCACCTTTATTTATCATCAAACGAGTTATTTCATTACGTAAGATTGCTCCAGAATGATGAGATGTATGAAAATATGTTATAAATGATTGACATTGTTGTAATACTTTTTTTCCAAATAAAGTTTTACAAATAATATCATTGCAAATCAACTGGATATGATGTGCAATACATCTAACAGGTAGAATTGCTGGATATTTATTTGAAATATATTGTTTGGCAAGTGTCATAGCTGAAGCAGCATCTGATACAATAGCTCCAAATTTATCTACACCAATATCTGTTAAAACTTTTTCAATTTCGTTAGCAGTAAAAATTGCAGTATGTGATTCACTAGAAAAATCTTTAATTGAATGTACATATTGTTTTTTGTTAGCAGTTATAATTACAAAAGCAAAATAAGAGCAACCACGATTGCTTGTCCATCCATCTAAAGCTAATAATAATAAATTTATTTAGTAAGAAATATATAATTTTTATATATTTATTTATTAATATTACCTAATGTAAGATTCTTTTCATTTTGAAGTTCTTTTTGCATAGCGACTGTAACTCTTACTGTTTCATAATTAAGCCAATTATTGCTCAAAGCTTTTCGATTAGGTGGTTTGTATGATATACTCAAATTTTTACAAAAATCTAAAAAAAATGGATGCTCAACAATCCAAAAAGGAATTCCACAACATACAAAAAATCGGGTTAATGCTTTGTGACATAATTCTTCTTGTCCAGGATCCATTGTATTTATAATTTGAAATTTATTATTAATTTGTGGTTGTACACCAGTAATAATATCTAATGCTGCTTTAGTTTTTTTTGTTTGACTTGGTAAAGGAAATTTTTGTAAAAGTTCTTGTCTAATATTAGGTGGAACTTTTTTACAATTTAAAACCAAATGTGTGTTCATGTTTATATCAGATGCACGTAGGTTTTGTTCTTTACAATATAGACATTCCCAACCTTTGTGACCATCATTATGCAAATTAATTTCTTTAAAATGATTATCCCAAAGTATATTTTTTGGACGGCCTCTTTTTTTTTGAGTTTTACTAGTTTGTGTATTATGATCAGAATGTTCAGCAACCTCTAATATCGAATCATCAGAATCTTCCATTATTAACTTGTATGAATAATTTGATATATAATTTTTTTATTTTTATTTTTTTTGTTTTAAGGGAAGGCACTTGAAGACGGCAAAAAAAAAACCAATTTATATAAAAAAAGAATATATAAATAATACTTTTAGGTGTTATTTTGAAAATTGTATTCTTTAAAATAATTATATTTGATTCAAAATAACACTAAAAATAATGTAATTTCGTATAATGCAAATGTGCATCTCAAGATAATGTGCAGATAGAAAAATAATGCACAGGTAGACAAAGTAATATGCAGAAAAGCATTGTTTTGATAAATGTTATGGTATACTAAAGTAAAATTTCATCATATAAATGTATATTTAATTTCTTAAATCTGTAGCTAATTCTTTAAATCATTTATTTCTAAGAGAAAACTGCTGTTAATGCATAATGATATTCAAAATTGTACACTAATGTTGTGAGATTAAACAATCATAATCAAACCAATATTATTTGTTTGAATCGATGGGCCTTTTCAGCGGTTTATGTATTGTATACAAATTTAGGATCAAAACGTCTTTATTCAGTTAGTAAATTTTATGTATCAATGATGTGTAAAAGTTACTAAACTAAATAAAGATGTTCTGACCCTAAATATATATACAATGCATGAACTGCTGAAAAGGCCAGATGCCTACAAGATTGGCAAGTACTCAGTTTATATATAAACCTAATTAAGAATGATAACCTTACAGTTTGCATATTGATGTCCGATTGCATAATTGTAAAGTGCAAAGATTCCATGTAAATACGCTCACTAAAAAATCATTATACATATGATCGCACAACTGAACAACAATCAAGTGATTGTATAGTTGTGCAGCGATCCACAAATTTGATCAAAGTTACATATGCAAACTGCGATAAATAAACTTTAAGGTTTGAATCGTCTAGAGATTGTACCCGTTAAAAAAATCTCTACCCGGGTCACCCGCCCGTTTTCAAGATCATTACCGGGTCACAAACCGGGTCACTTTAAATAATCCGGCTGACCCGGTTGACCCGGCTAGAGATTAGGCTCTGTGTAAATTTTTGCTCCGGGTTTATAAAACTATTACCCGGGTAACAACACGGTTTACTTTCTATCGCTATACTTGTGAATAAGCATCGGATTTAGCCTTTAACCAAAAGTCATTTTATGCTAAGCTTAGCATAAAATGAATTCAGATTATGCTAAGCTTAGCAAAAACCAAAATTCGACCGAAATTCGTTTTCTGCTAAACTTAGCATAAACCGAAATTCGTTTTCTGCTAAACTTAGCATAAACCGAAATTCGTTTTCTGCTAAACTTAGCATAAACCAAATTCGTTTTACTAAGCTGAACTTGTTTTATAAAAAAAAAAAAAAATTATAAGACATCATATTACAGTATTATAATGCCCTGTTTTTTTTTATTCGAATTACCCGGTTAGCATGACCATGACCTGATTAAAAGTTGCTTATACGAGCTACTCAGGTAATTCTTACCTGGGCTTAAACCCTACGCCTATTTATCCAATGGTTTAGTTTCCATGATTTAAGTAAGACTATTTATCGTTATGTTAGACATCTTTGGAATTAAAACTTGACTTTTGATCAAATCAACCAGCCAATCAGGTGAATGCGAATTTCACTTGTTTATATTATCCAGGTCACCCGGGTAGCAATATCATGACCCAGTTAACGAATCTTATACGGGTCACCCGGGTAACTCTTATACGGGTACTATCTCTAGAATCGTCCTTATTTCTACCTATTTATGCTAATCGTAATTG